ATTACGTATTGCTTGATTTCTTGACACATGTATGTATACGTATTACACACACACACACATATGTATACAGACACAGATGAAAATCGTTCGCTCCGTACGCTCTATTCCATGAGCAGTGGAATATCTTGCACTACATATGTATCGAGTTCCTACATATGTAGGTGTGTTTTTGTAGTACACAACAGAGAAATGTCATATTGCCGTATATGACTTTTAATTTTGATAGAATCATATTTGTACAACCGTTCGCATTTGTTACAAATAATAGCTGCAAAAACACCACGTGATAACTATCCCCTGCTTAAAATATTAATATTTCGTTTCGTCTCGTTATTTTCAATGATCATCTACTATATTGAGGTTAGAGTTTAGACCGCAATGTGAAGTATACACTCGTACTAATAATTTATATAAAAACACTATAGTATAAACTGCGATTTAGTATTCAGCAACATTTGGTAACACACCTGTCATAATGTTTGTGATATAGAAGAGCATTTCGAACAGATTCTTTTACCAATATTATATAAATGATTGTTTTTTAGTATGGTAGAAGACAAAAAATATGAAATTGGCAGCCGAATTGAGTGTGATGGACACAGAGGTACATTAAAATATGTTGGTCCTGTTGGAAACACAAAAGGACAGTGGCTTGGCATTGACTGGGATGATTTTATTCGCGGTAAACACAATGGCACATACGAAGGAGTAGAATATTTCAAAGCTAGGTAAAGTGATATAAAGGAGTTTCATTACTTTCTGTAACAATAGAATCAGTAAAATATTTTATATGTTTCATAATAGGCATCCTACATCAGGTTCATTTATACGCCCTGGTAAAGCAAAATTTGGCATCTCCTGTTCGCAAGCTATAAAGATTCGTTATGGCCTCATCAATGATGAATTAGCAGGCATCGATAGAGACACATTAATGAGCTTACAAAAGGAGATTAATGCTCCTTTTCTGGAAGTTGTTGGTTTCTCGAAAGTGAATAGAAAACAAAGTAAATTTGACCAGTTAAGAATAGTATGGCTCAGAGATCAATATGTCAGTAATGCTGGTAATCCTGGTGAACTAGAAGAATTATGTGCTAATTTGGAAGAGTTAGATATATCTAGAAATTTAATTAACTGTTGGAGAATTGTAGCAGATATTTGTTGTCAGCTTCATTCTCTTACTGGCCTTAACGTCAGGTAAAATAGTTATATTTATTATATCAGTCACATACAACATTGTTACTCATTTACTGATCTTTTCAGTGAAAATTATCTACCGATTGAAGAAAATATGGAATCATTAAGTACCTCATTTTTAATGGTTGAACATTTAAACATGGCAAGAATGAATTATAACTGGTTTGATATTCAACAATGTATGTGTATGTTTCCATCTATCCAAGAACTTTCAATTTCCTTTAATACAGTCAGCATTATACAGAAACCATTAGAAGATGAAAACTTAATGAAAATATTTAGATTAACGCTCGAAGGAAATTTAATATCCAGTTGGGATGAAGTCCTTAAATTGGGTTCACTTCCACGGTAAGGTGTAATAATGTTAAGGAATATAGAGGATTTTCTATTAAAGGGTTCCATCTTACAGCTTAGAATACCTCAATTTAAATTTAAATAAGATAGACGAAATAAGATTTCCATCTGTTGAACCAACAGCAAAAACTTCGGCCTTTCCAGTTTTGCGACAATTACACCTATCGCAGAATAACATATCGGAGGTATATGATTTTATTATATACGTGAATCGTTTTTGAATCAGCATTAATCTCATTGAAATTTTCAGTGGCGAGCTATATCGGAATTAGAGAAACTAAATAATTTAGAAGAGCTGAAATTTAGGGAAAATCCAATTTTGAAAGACGAAAATTTAGAGACAGCACGTCAGTTAATAATAGCAAGAATTTCGAAATTAAAGATTTTGAATGGCACTGAAATAGCACTGGGTGAAAGACGAGGTGCAGAATACGATTATATGAAGCTGCATTTACCTAAATGGGTTGAAAGTGAAAACAATATGGAAAACAGAAAAGAATTCATAATTGAACATCCTCGATATGTATCATTGGTTGAAAGTATGTGAAAATTATATAAACAAATTTAAACCATATCTGAAATAATTCTAATACTTTATTGTTTCTAGAATATGGAATTTCTGATATCCCATCAGCTAAACCAAAAGTCGAAATGGTTTCCAACGTTATCACGGTAGAATTTTCATGTCCAGATCATCCGAGTCAGCCCAGAGGAATCAAAAGGAAACTTTTAAAAGATATGGAAGTTCAGAAAGTCATTGGGCTTGCACAGCGACTTTTCAGGACAGGAGGAAAAATACCTGCTCTATCATTTATACAACATAATGTGAGTGCAAACTCGTTTGTCTGCAACGTACTTATAATACAGAACTTCTCAATTTCTTGCAGTTGTCCGAAGTTGAAATTCCTTTGGACAAACCACTTCAAGAACTGAGCTACTATTCAATACAAGACGGAGATCAAGTTCTTGTAAGGTGGTGATACAAAATGAATTGTTTATAGACGTAACTGTATTTTGTACACTGTTAAAATTTCACCACCGTACTTTGTTATTAAACTTTTTTAATGGCACAAGTATATTTTTTGAATCCTATTAATAATTTACCAACTGTTACCCACGACATAACCAATGCTTGTTTCTTTAACTTAAAAATATCGTACATGTACGAAGAAAATAATTACCATATTTATGGAAAGATATATTCTATACTCGTTATAATACAAATAGTATGTAAAGTATAAATTATTCTATAACTTTACATGTTATGTGTTACCATATTTATCGCAAAATGAGATAAATAATTTATTACAAACGCAATACTCCAAATATCTAATTTTGTTGCGCCTGCTGTTCGATCTTACTATATTCCTCTTTTTCAAGTTGTTCTCGCGTTAACAACGATAATCCTAATTGGTTCTCACGTGTGAACGGTTGCGCCATTTGTCGTAACCATCGTTTGCTTATCTGCAAATGATATTAAAATAATAATTTCAAGATTCGAATTAAAGTTACGAAGAGCTAAAGTCAAAATTTACCTGTACAGCTTCTTCAGTCGACAAGTTACACAAATTATCAGTTAAATGTTCCTGTATCCATTTTGGTAATTTACTTCGTTTGTCTATTCTTGAAAATCTCTGAAATTCAATATTGTTAAGAAGTAGATTGTCGACGAGGTTGGAATAGTTCGTAATAATTAACCATTACCTTGTCCGCAAACACCATTATACCGTAATCAGTTTTTCCTCTGATTGCACGCCCGACACATTGTGCTGCATGTCTCATGGCATCAAAAGTTAAAAAATCGTTTTCTCTGATCTGGGCAAGATAGTAGTAATACTTTTAGTAAAATTAATATATATTTTATGGTTTATATCAATAAATACTTTCTTACTTGGAATTGATCACGAAGATATTCGAGACGCGCTTTTAAAATACGCGATTGTGTATATACATAAGGAATTCCAAACATAAGAACAGCCCTTCCTAAATGATGATCAAAATCTACTCCTTCCGATACTTTGCCACGCGCTACCGAAAGCAGAACAGCCCCTCTTCCACTTTCACAAGCTTTTATATAATTAATAAGTGCTAGACTCGTTTCGGCGGAATCCTGAGTTTCAATAAATAGTAACTTATGTCTCTGGAGTTGATCTACAACACCTTGGTCATACCTATAAAAATAATTATAGTATAAAAATATAATCTAAATGAAACAATTTAATTAATACATACCACGCAGCCACCACAGATTCCATGTATAAATACGAGGTAAAAAAGCAAACTAAACCATCAGGAACAGTGGATGCAAATTCAACTAATAATTGACCATAGTTTCTTATAACAGCAACATCTTCTCTTGTTTCATATTTGGACGAAATTGCTACTTGATCATTACCTTTCGATACGATCTAATGTTGAGAGAAATTTTCTTTTTTTCAGTAATAATCAAAATTATTGATTAAAGGGAAGTGTTATCAAACTCACCATAGGTAGAAGACATGGTCTAGCCAATGTCATTGTAAAAGATGACATTATGACTGGATGAAAATTCAATATTTTAGGATACATGTCTAAAGGCGACAATGTTCCTGATGTGATTACTACAGATTGAAATCTATCGAAGACAGGCTTCATTGCAATGGATGAATCTACACAACTGAACTGAAGGATTGGATTTAAAACATTAGGTGTTTTATCGTCATACGGTTCTACAATAATAGTAAATCCTTTTGTGTATGTTGCAACTAAAGTTGCAAGGTGAGTCACCAGGATAATTGGTGAAAAATCAGTTAAATCACTTATCTCCATAGTGCGTAGTAGAGTCGCCAATCGTTCGGCGCAAAATCTTAATGGTTTACGTTCTATTGAAACTTTCGATTGTACATCTCTTAAGAATGCAGCAGGTGATTCTTGTATCACGTGTTGCACACGTAAACGTGTTTTTAGGTATTCCACAAAACGTTTTAGGAAACTAACAAAATGTTCTGCGTTCCGTATGTTACCAGGAACCACCTCTGAAGCAATATGAAAAAATTAATTAGAATCATAATCTTTTATCATTTAGAGTATCAAGAATTTACCATGTAAAATTTCGTCTGGTAAAACAGGATTAGATAAAATAATATCAGTTTCCCTAGCAACTTGTGCATCTTTCAGCCCTTCCACTAATCTATCATATTCTTCTTTCAATTTGTTTACATCGTCTTCTCTCATCCTATAACATTTATATAATTAATTAGTATTTATCATAAAAGTATATATATAATTACGTTATATAATATATTAGAATTGACTTACTCTGCTACTGTCTTTTCAAGCAGCTGTATATTGGCAGAACTTTTCTCCAATGATCTTCTATTTATCTTTACACTCATTGAATCAATGCATACATTGTCTATATTGTGGGCTTCATCGAAAACCACAACAGAAGATTTGCTTAATTCTTTTGATACAGTTTCAGCAATTTTGGGATCTAATAAGTAATGATAACTGTATACTACGATTTGAGCGTGTAAAATCTAAAATAATATACAAATATTAATGCTTCGGCTACTATGGAAATTTGGAGCTTATTTTTTGAAATACTTACTGTAAATCTTGCAAGAAAGTATGGGCACCAATTACGGTCCTTTCCATATTCTTTCAAATCATCAATTGAATATATTCCAGGTGGCACGATTTGTTCTTTGCCTTCCAAGTCGAATCCCTCATAGAAATTGCAGATGGGTGCAGATTCGTCATAATTATGCCTTTCACGGATGTACGATGCTGTGAGAGAATGGCAACGTCCGTCAACAATTTTACCTTCACGTTCTCTGCTCACCTATTCGAAACATATCATTCTTTTGCAGTCATTTGAATATGCGGTTGTTTGTTCTAAATAGCAAACAATAAGAGAACTGTAAGTAAGTTGAAAAGGAATTACCTCTGGATGAATACACAAATTTTTTCGAGAGCTAAGCACTAAACCAACAATTTTTGGTTTACTTTCAGTTTCTTTCTCATAATAATCCATCAGTTTCTTTAACTCTTCTATAACTTTTTCAATTTCTGGTACGGTACGGGAGCAATAAATTAATTTTGTAATCTCCAATGGATTTTCCATCATGTAAGCTACAATTAACGACAACAGAGTGATTGTTTTGCCAGTGCCAGAAGGCATTTCCAACAAACAGTGGCCCTACATTGTAAATAAAATCATCATAAATGTGACGAAAACAATGCCAAATAATTCTGTAATATAAAAATATTATAAAACAAATACTTTTGCATCCAGGCCACGTTTGAGTTCGAGCATGTACGCATATTGCTCGGGATAAATGTAATCGTAAGGAAAATATACTAGTAAACCGTCAACGCTGATTCTGTAAACATAAATAGGTTGTAAGATTTTTTCTCTCGAGTAACTTCAGAATCTTAATAAATGAATATTCCTATTTACTTCATATTTGTGTATCTTTTACTACATAAATATGAATCCTGTATACTGTAATGTCATTTATTCATTGATGTAACGACTACAATATATTCAACGTTAGGTTACGACTGCAACATCAACATTACTCGAAGTGTTGAACTGAAGCGCAATTAAATCAAGCGCACCGATTCAAGATTCAAGTTCCGTCGTTCTGTGAATGAACCGGCACCGGCAGGAACGCATCGTGTTCCTAAAATAATATTTTTTGTTACGCATTGATAAAAGCAAAATATGATCATCGTTGGTAAAAAATAAATAAATAATAGGGAATAAAATTATTGGAAATATTTTCTATATTGAATAAGTGTTTCGAACACATCAAAATGTTTTCTTGATAGATAATCGATTCGAACTTATCGATACGACGATCGATACGATAGTGCTGCTGCAGCTAAACCGGAAGACGATGTTTGAAGCCTTGATAATTTCCGTGATCGTTTGGCGTCCGACATACACGTGTATGGAGAGTTGAAGTAATAATTCAATTGAGTACAAACATTTAGTTATTTAAAATAGGAAATGGGAAGGCCAGGTAATTACTATTTGCTATTCTATTAAATGTTTTATTCGTTTTAATCATTACGACATAAAATCGTACATTATTGCCATACTCGTTTCGGTAACCTAGCATGTAAATAATTATCTCGGTTTTTCCGTAGCAAGGCTATGTATACTGAATTTATTGCATTTATATATTTATTTCTTTATAATGAATCATTTTTTATCGAAATATGTATGTAATTAAGTCAGACAAACATTGAAATTCATTTTCTTCTTGTTCGGCTTTCGTTAATTTAACAACGTGTACTTATGCCGGGAATGAAGAAAAAAATATTTTCATACATTACACAAATATCTGTATAAATGATATAATACTTATATTTCCAATTATGAGTTGTAAATTATATATATGTATATATTTTTGAGAATGAATATATTTATGTTTATTGAATTATTTGTTTAATTATAGGATATTCTCCGGGTGGAGGTGGAGGTGGATATAGAGGTGGCAGAGGAGGAGGAGGAGGTCGTGGAGGTGGTGGAGGAGGATTTAGAGGAGGAAGAGGCGGAGGTGGTGGTGGAGGAGGAGGAGGAGGAGGAGGAGGAGGATTTAGAGGTGGAAGAGGCGGAGGTGGTGGAGGAAGAGGAGGTGGTACACCACGTGGACGTGGAGCCCGTGGAGGAGGTAGAGGAGGACGTGGAGGCGGTGGTTTCAAAGGTGGTAAAACTGTTATCATAGAGCCACATCGTCATGAAGGAGTTTTTATAGCTAGGGGGAAAGAAGATGCATTAGTTACATTAAATTTAGTACCAGGTTCAGAAGTATATGGTGAAAAAAGGATTAGTGTCGAGGTATAATAACATAGCAATTCCTATCATATTTATAAATACAGTGGGAACATAATAATATTTTGTATGCCAATATTGCAGGCGGATAACTCTGAAAAAATTGAATACAGAGTATGGAATCCATTTAGGTCAAAGTTGGCTGCTGCGATACTAGGTGGCGTAGATCAAATTCACATGCCACCAGGGAGCAAAGTATTATACTTAGGCGCTGCCTCTGGAACTACAGTATCTCATGTAGCAGATATCGTTGGGCCGGTAAGTTCGTATACAGTTCAATTCAATAAAATACGTATAATTTATTGTGCATACATTAGAGCCAGTTTGACGAATTATTATCAAATTGGTGTCGAAGTGATGCCATAACAATCACATACTCGTTTTTTTCATTGCACAAGATCCTTTTCATCTTGTTCTAAAAAGACGTGTGTACAAACGTTTAAAGTCGCATTCCAGTTGTATTTTACAGTGTACGCAAGTGCTTCGATTGCATACTTTCTTTTTACAGGAGGGGCTGGTGTATGCCGTAGAATTTTCACACAGATCTGGTAGAGATCTTCTAAATGTTGCCAAGAAACGAACTAATATAATTCCGATAATCGAAGATGCTAGACATCCACATAAGTACAGAATGCTCGTGGGAATGGTGGACACGATATTTGCCGATGTTGCACAGCCTGATCAAGCTAGAATAGTAGCTTTAAATGCTCAGTACTTCCTCAAAAATGGAGGTCACTTTGTTATCTCTATTAAGGCAAGTTTTCACTTATACATAATTCAATAATAGTCGATATAATTTCTATATTTTCATGGTAAAATTTGTCTTCGCAGGCGAGTTGTATAGATTCCACGGCACAACCCGAAGCAGTATTCGCCGCCGAAGTAAAAAAATTAATCGCCGATAAATTGAAACCGCAGGAACAAATCACATTGGAACCATACGAGAGGGACCACGCCGTGGTAGTCGGTGTTTTTAGGCCGCCACCTAAAAAAGTCACATAAAATATCTATATGTACATATTTATCATTTTATTTTTAAGATCATTTTGATTGACCATCATCCCCTAGAATGTATGCAATATCTTTTGATTTATTGACTGCAAATACTGTTTTCAAATATTTCGTGGAACCTACGAAAACGCAGTATGAAATAGTTTTGTAATATAATGTAAAGTTAGACGATTATTATCCAGGTATCCCGGAGCTGTTCTCGATAAATGCAATTTGATTCACTTTTGTACCTGTATAATCGGTACATCGACATGAATGTACACGTAATGATTGTTTAATATAAAGTTTATATATTAAATATCTCTTAAAGATCATCTCACTTATACTTTCATAATGAAATAAAAAGAAGGAAGACCATTTAGTAACTCTTTTGACATGTTCAATTGTACCTGAAACTGTACTACAGTAAATCCTTTCTTTTAAAACAAAATTATTCTTACTGCTTCTATTCCTCGTCTGCGGTAAAATGACGCTATTTGTGATCGGTTGCGTAGCTCGTGGCAATATTTTGAACCGAGGTTAGGGGTTCATACAGCGCCAAAACACGTAGTGTCAAACGCTCGAAATGGTAAGCAAATTTACCGACCAATTTTCAGAATTATCCAAGAACGATAATCCTGGCGAGCAGTTTAAGCGTTTTACCGCAAGGTGACGCATGGTGGCGTCAAAATAAAATTTCACGGGTTTTGTATGGTTGCGCCACCTGTGCTAAAATTCTGAACTAAATTTGTCCAGTAGTTTCAGCGATTTGCCACCTACTAATTGGCGCTGTACAGACCTCTAAACAAAGCTTCCAGATTTCATCACCAGAGGCGCCACTGTTTGGCTAGCAGTTTCAGCGTTTTGCCATCCTACTAATTGGCGCTGTACAGACCCCGAAAGGAGCTTCAATTTTCCTCCGAAAGAGGCGCCACAATCGTCCAAACAGCAATTGATTCTTGCCGAATTTTACATTGCTTCTTACGGGAAAAGCGGCACGAATCATTCTTTCCGATATTTGATATTATAAAATAAAATATAAAATTGTTCATAACTAATCTGTCACAATTTAAATATGAAAAAAATTATTAGAGATACGTTCTCAGGGATATTTCCAGGAGGTTCCAATCATACAAGTGGCAATAAATATGAAGTTAGAACGAAAAATAAATTCGAAGAAAAATAATTCTACATAAAGGACTATATTTACTTTGAATTGATTTCGAATATAAAGTTAGGCTGTACTTTAATATAGAGAAAGCGTGATTTGAAAATAAAAGGCACAGCTTACGGTGAGTCACATAACGTTAAATTTTTCGCTTTACACCGTTCAGCCAATTTTGGTCTTACAATTATCAGAAATTACACGATATTGCCATCGGAAATCGATAAATAAATTCATTCAATCGGACACGTGTTAATATAAAAATCGCCGAGAAACATCCAAGTAAATTTAATCTTACGATTTTTATGAGACAAATCGGATCAGCAAACACTCAAGTGCGATCAGTGTGTTGAATAGATATTGAATATAGATATATAGATATAGATATATAGATATAGATATATAGATATAGATATATAGATATAGATATATAGATATAGATATATAGATATAGATATATAGATATAGATATATAGATATAGATATATAGATATAGATATATAGATATAGATATATAGATATAGATATATAGATATAGATATATAGATATAGATATATAGATATAGATATATAGATATAGATATATAGATATAGATATATAGATATAGATATATAGATATAGATATATAGATATAGATATATAGATATAGATATATAGATATAGATATATAGATATAGATATATAGATATAGATATATAGATATAGATATATAGATATAGATATATAGATATAGATATATAGATATAGATATATAGATATAGATATATAGATATAGATATATAGATATAGATATATAGATATAGATATATAGATATAGATATATAGATATAGATATATAGATATAGATATATAGATATAGATATATAGATATAGATATATAGATATAGATATATAGATATAGATATATAGATATAGATATATAGATATAGATATATAGATATTGATATATAGATATTGATATATAGATATAGATATATAGATATTGATGTATAGATATAGATATATGTATAAATATCGAATAGATATACTTTCGGTAGGATTTTTCGGCGAAGAGACGTCACCAGCCAGCCCCCGGAAAATCGCGAGTGCAGTTGCAGTCGGATCGCGGCGCATCGGCCGGGCGGGCCGCGTTGCACCGAGAAAAATGCGCGGCAACAGGCCACGCGGTCATCTCGAGAGAACGGCGGCCGGCATCGTCGACCGGCCTGACGACCGAAAACGATAACGATTTTTCCGCACGGTTCCGGCCCGTAGAAAATTGGCGCGGCTCGTTGGCCAAAACGAGTTCGCCCCGGCTCCGTCCCGGAACGGGCGAGAACAATGGGCCGTGGCCGCATAATTTCGAGAACGCCGGGCCGTATAGGCACCAAAGAGTCGGTAATTAGATCGCGCGGGATTTATTATTGGATGCCGAGTATAAAGCTGTTAGAATCGAAAATGATTTACAGTAACGGGATTTAACGGAAGGCCGGTACCGGTAATTAACCTATTACCGGGGCCAGCCGGCGCTGTTTGCATGATAATTTTGAAAATCGATACGCAACATTCCTGCAGGCTACTATCATATTCACGATTCGCGCACGGTGCCGGTGTAAACCATAATCTAGCGGTAAGCGCGGCACGAGCCACGTGGAACGAGTTAACGCCACCCGGATCCCTCGAAATATCAATAATTGGACTGTGTACGCACCGGAGAACCGTAGCCACGGCCGCCGTACGCACTCTGCACGTCGCGTCGTCGCGTTAATTATCGATCCGACAGCTTGCGGCCGGCGAGCTCTCCGGCTCCGACGGGCTTCCCTCTGTTACACGCTCGTCTTCCTCGCCGCTCGAAATCCGCCCCCGTCCGCCTCGCCGTACGTCGAAGGCACGCGAAGGAACGGAACCGTGCTCGCGTGCATCCACGAAGATTATCGCGAATGGAAAATGGTTCTTGAATCGTTTCACGATCAGTTTTTTGCCTCGATGCAAAATGCCTTCGAGAATTTGTTTAATGAGATGTTTCGCATTTTCTGATTAAGGCGCTGTGGGGTCGCCGCATATTATGACGATCCACACATAGAAGAAAACCATATACGTATATTAGTTTGCAGAATAATTATTTCTATATTATTTAATAAAGATATATCCCCTTATAACAAGGGGATATAACATCCATTAAAACTGACGCTTTAATATCGAAGTGTGCAGTTCACAAGTGGAAAATTTATTGGGTTGGCAACTAAGTAATTGCCGATTTCAGTTATAGATGTCTCTCACTCCCATTTTTATGATATCCGTAAATGTTATATTATAAAATTATTATTATTATTATTATTATTATTTCATTTATAGATGTCTCTCATTCCCATTTTTATGATATCCGTAAATGTTATATTATAAAATTATTATTATTATTATTATTATTATTATTATTTCATTTATAGATGACTCTCCGATTTCAGTTATAGATGTCTCTCACTCCCATTTTTATGATATCCGTAAATGTTATATTATAAAATTATTATTATTATTACTATGTTATTTTTTATTATCCGTGAATGTTAGCAACTGGACAAATTGAATGCAGCGGTCAAGGAAAAGCGACCAGAATTGGTCGATCGTAAAGGTGTCATTTTCCAGCAGGACAATGCTAGGCCGCACACGTTTTTGTCCACTCGGCAAAAATTGATGGATATTGGTTGGGAATTGATGTTACACCCGCCATACAGCCCTGATCTCGCGCCGTCGGATTACCACTTATTTCGATCCCTGGACAACTCTCTTCGTGGTAAAACTTTTAATGATGACGACGCTGTAAAATCTCACTTCACTCAGTTTTTGGCCGGAAAGGATCAGACTTTCTACGAGCGTGTAATTTTCAAGTTGTCAGAGAGATGGCAAAAGGTCATCGAACAAAATGGAAAATACATTACAGATTAAACTTCGTTCCAAGTAAAAAAAATTTTTTATTTCATTGAACAAATCGGCAATTACTTAGTTGCCAACCCAATAGATTCCCAAAAGACTGAACTCGGGGGCTTCGGTTGTAGAAATATCGGTTTTGCAGTTATTGTGGAGATATTTGCAATATTCGGCCAGCGTAGTGAGACTTCGTAAGTGACTTCCGATGCAGCCAGGTAGAATCTATTGTTCTCATTTGCTCGCTACGAGTCAACGGGACAAACGAGTACAGTAATGTCTCCTTAACTGACGCTCAGATTGTGCACGAAAATGGACAATTTGGGAAGAGGAGATACGATTGTCCGAGCGCTGCACCTAGTTTTTATAATCGTTGACAATCGGTAACCATAAAAATGAGTCGGAAGGCTCGAATAATCGCATCTCCTCTTCCCAAATTGTCCAATTTTGTGGATAATCCGAGCGTCAATTAGAGAGACATTACTGTATTTTGCCTTCACTGAATAGATAAGGGTTCAAAGTAGACAAAATAAAAAGTCGAAAAGAATAAATAACGAGAAGAACGAAATAAATGTCTGTAAAGAGAACGGAAGTTATTCGTGACTGAATATTTTGAGATCGTCGACGTTGTAAAGATTCTTTTACAGGAAATGATTGAACGGATGCTTCAATTGTAGAGTATATTACAATAAAAATGGCGAAATGTCTAAAATGTCTAAATAAAACCACTCTTGTTCTTATTAATACAACACGCGTCGATGCAATTTTAGTGCTCGGCAGTGCTTCGGTAATTTTGATTAAAGGCAAATAATTCTTAATAACAAGAAGCAATCGATGCACATTTATTATACTTTATTATATTATTATATTATATTGTATTATTATATTATACTATTATATTATATTATTATATTATTAGCCACCTTTACGTTGTCATTTCGCAGAGAATCGTCAGCATTTTGCAAATCGACAATTTGACCGTCGTTCACCGCGATCTTCTTATTTGTCTTATCCACAAGTTGAAGCATATTTCGATGGAACATAAACCGGCGCCGCCTAGTAGAGGCTCGCGATTAGCCGAAGAACGCTGCTCCTCCTCCGATCCTCCTCTTTTTTGTCTTTTGCTTAGCCGTGTCGGCTACGGCGACACGCGTCCGAGGCGAACGGCGGCGATCGAGCTTAATTTCGCAGAGATCGTCGAAGGAAAATTAGCGGACCGTTACGGCCGGCACATTTTCGCCGACGGTCGGCGAACGAGGTCGGGGGTGCGGAGGAGGGTTGCAGACTGATTCCGCGCGGCGAATGGCCCGTCGAAGAGG